TCAAGAGGCGTCTCACTGGCTGTATCCAGTGTGCGCCGACGCGAATGATAGCATTCTCATCGCAGCAGCGTCGTTACGCGAGGCGGCTGCTGCAGTGCCGGCGCGTCCAAAGCTCCATTAGCCCCGGCAAATGAGCCGATCCCCTGTTTGTTCCGGTGGTGCGCTCGCACGCACCGGCGGAGCGCGGGCCGTGTGGGCTGGCGGCAGGCGGCCGGCGCGGCCAGCAGCCGTCGCCGCCGGCGGGTCCGCCCGGTCATCAGTGACCTTACAGCCACGGTCGATACTCTCAGCCAGGGGCGGCCATGGAGACAGCAGCCCGCCGTTCCGATGGGCTGACAGCGGCTTCGACGAACGGCGGAGCCTTTTACCGGCGCCGTGGGCGGCGGGCGGTCACCCTCAGTGGGTGGCGCGGCGCAAGACTTAGGCGCCGTTTCTGCTGTGTGAAAGAGTGGGATTTTCCGTGCCGCCCAAGATGGCACGAGCACGGGGAGCCAAGTTCGGGTTAGTGCGCATTTCTGGGCTGGGATGTGAGTGGTGCCTTCCTCTTAGAGCGGCGTTGAATGAATGACATCCATGTGTGGTGTGACGTTCTGAATAAGGTTCCAAAGCATCGCAACGAATAGGTGGTTGGCTCCAGACCGGCGCGGTGATGATATGTCGGACCATTACGCGATGCATGCGAGCTTTCCTGTCTGACCTACCGAGACAGAGATCTGGGCAATGTGCAGATCTTCCCTCGAAGATGTCACCGCGCTAAGAGTGCGACACTTTCTGTAACAATTTCGCAAATACCCAGTTGGGCGTAGGAGGTGATCAGTCAAAATGTAGCGAAATAACATCGATTTGTTAGTGCGCATGCTGCCTGAGTTGTTTTGTATCGATGCAGTGTTCTGCTATGGGATGAATGTATGCCTGGAGAGGACCCCATCTTATCATAAGACGTCTGAGTAGTCGTGTGGAACGAAAAGACGTCATGAGTTGAAAGTTTTTTCTATTGAGTTAGCAACTCTCAATATACCAGGAGGACTTGGTTTAATGGCTTTGTAGTGCAAACTAACAATCACACTGACGGTGCTTAATATTTCGAGCTGCGTCCATCCTTAAGCCATCATAAATCACATCATACTGAAGGTTGTTAACTCAACACAAGCACTTTCAACTCACATTGTCGAAAACTAGGAGCTGAGAGCGTTCTTTTGTATATCAAAAACAAGGAGACGTCTATATCATACGGAAACAGAAAATGGTGGGCATGCGGTACGTCGGGGACGATCCATGTTAGGACGGCATGCAAACTTGGTCAGTGTCTGCGGCAAGATGAAAAGCCTCATCACGTGTGCACTTTCCAATGGGTTACGTTTGGCTGCAACGCCGGTGAGCGTCAGTAAGTGGCTGTCCATGTCCTGAAATGAGCATTGGCTTCCGAGGCCGGCCAGCAGATCGATGCGAACAAGCACAAAAGCGGCTCAGTCGGGATAACGCACGCGTTTTTTTTAGAACGCGTCGCTGGATGAGCGGTCTCGCACAATGGAGCAGGCACCCGTGTCGTTGCCGATAGTCTGTTGATGCTTCGATAGCGGTGCTTTTCAGGAATTGGAAGGGTAAACAATCGGGCTCTAGATCTGGCCGGATTGTGCCCAAATTAGTCCTTAAATCAGGTTTAATTTTGTTAGATAATTGGGTCCTCCACCCCGAGTGCTAGTCAGTCCACTGAAAATTTATGGTGAGCGCTTCGATTCCGCTTCCTTGCAAAGTCGTTCTTAATCGCTGTAAATGCCTAACGATCTTCCACATTTCTATCTTTCGACATCAAATCCCCCAATAAGTCTGTTTACGTTGCGTGATATCTGCATTACGGGAGAGCTGACACGTTGCGTGTAGTGTACGCTGTTGATCGTCGCACACGGGCGGCGAAGCGGCTGGCAGTTCATTTTTTGGATTTTGAGGTCGAACAAGCAGCCAATTTGCAATCTAGGGCATCATAGATTGGGTCATTTCAAGCTGCATTTGCGACAAAACTGATCGTGATGAACGTGATTCAGCATTTATTTTGTTTCAGAGAATTACGGGAAAGGCTTGACACCACCGTAGCGTTCAATAAGGTGACCAATTAGAGTGCGATCCCCACGTGCACATTTCTACACAATTATACTCGACTGATTACGTTTTAACAGGGGCGCCTAGAGGGAGCATGAAGGAAGTTGGCCTCGCGCACGTGTTCCATACGTATGTCAGACCTCTGGTCGCCTCAAGGACCTCATTCAGGTTGCGCTGTAGCTCTTCAGGCTCAGTTTCCCATGGACACTCCCAACAGGAGGACATTGCACGTTCCCCGCATGTTAGACCTCTGGCGACTTCAAGCTGGCTTCGAACAAGCGCCAGAGCTTCCTGAAACTTCCGCACGGTCGGACACGAGACGCCTTCGGATGGTGACGCCACACAGCTGCCGTTAAGGAGAAGCTGGTGGTCCCCCGGACAAGGGGGCTCTCCGGAGACACCCATCGTCATTAGACTGATGACTTGGAGAAGGAGGATAGCAATCATCGCTGCGAGGCTTCTGGGCGGGTGACAGAATATTGAATGAGGCCCGCTGGTGTGGGTATAGCCAAGCCGTGTAGATCTTCCTGTGTCGATGTGGAGGGCAACGGCCACACTGTTTTGCTGATCTGTGCTACCACCCGGCAGAAACTTTGCTGGCACACCAGGTAAAAGCCAGGCACAAAAGGTAGGCAGGCCCTTTAAATAAGTAAGAAACTAGACACCAGATGAGATACTATAGTTTCCAAGGTCGTGGTGCGCGACGGAAGTCATACATATTCATGTATGAAATTTATGGAGTGATTTTTGTGTAAGCAATCGTTTGCTAAGAGACAAAGAACGCTGTCATTCACGTGAATTAGTTGTTATGAAGCTTGCATGTAGGTATATCTTAAAAGTCTCTAAGATTGTTCACATATGGTCGTCGCACCCGGCAACACCATTCATTTTTTGTACGCCCGTTCGCAGCCCACATAGGTGAAAAATGACAATATGAAGCAAAATGACCATGTAACACGAAATCGAGAGAAAACAACGTAGTCATCAACACAAACTCCTCGCATATTATTGCAATGTTTCACAAACAATACATACCAAACAAAATTTTTGTCATTCAGCTCTCCCAATAAAGTCATGAGATTAATGTCAAATAGTCGGCAAGCTAAAAAAAAAAACACTTTTGAAGATTCCGATGTTCTATTGTCTATTGGTCTAAAGATTTATTGTCAAGAACTTGTAGTCTCCCGCCGCCTCGGTATCTGGACGTAAATAATCACAGCTCAGTTGATAAAGGTCGGAATCTGACAGGTGTCGAGACAAACGTGTGGGCTTCCCTGAAAAATCGTATATGTGACTCGTAAAGAGGGTTATTTAGCAGCTGGGAAAAGAGGATGAAGCCGGCACGGGATGGCTGGTCATAAGTTTACACCCACGATATGATCATTAAAAGGTATCTGGGTCAAACTCAGAGGTGAAATGTTGTTCGCTTGAGTGACATTTCTCAACCTGTGTATTCAAATAAAGCTCACACAGCCCGTGGTGTTTAGGTCTCTATATCTATATCTGAAAGAGTTTTAGAAACATAAGTAAAACCGAACCCTTGCTAAAAATAACTGTCTCCGAGAGTATTTATAATATCCAAGTGCATGCCGTTGGAAGTTGGCGTTCGGGAGGATTGGAATATCCCTGCACGATTGCCCAGGATATATATCCAAGCTGGCCTCACAATCCATTCCAGAGGGTTTGCTCCAATGCGCCACACATTAAATTGATTGTGACTACTGAAAAAAACAATGTAGTTAAATACATCAAAGATGGCAGTACACTTCGCTCATGTATTATTTGTTTCTTTGTCTGGGGTTTACCTGTTGACGCCGCGATGGTTCTGTAACGTCTTTGTCATGGCTCGGTCACACTGGAAGATGAGTAGTACACGGTCCGACTTACGTGACGGTGGTATTGCTGTATTAAATTTGCACAGGCATCAAACTACACTATATATTTGCTATGGTTAAAGATTTAACGCTTAAACATGACACTTGCTGCTTAAACTCAGTTCTCTTAATTGCACTTACAACACGTGCCAATGGCTTCTTCCATGTTGACGTTTAAGAGGGGCGTTGCGAAATATGTATCAGCGTACCTGTCATGTTCGTCTCATTTTCATTTACGTCATTTAGTACATTCAGTGTAAAAATGCCTCCTACAGCTAAGAAAAATAAGCAACCCACCCTGGAAAAAGATAACTGAGCCACAATATCCATGAGCCACAATTTCCTCCCCTCCCATGCTATCCCATTGCCATCTGAGCCAGCGTCACCCCGTTGACCATGCCCCTACTGCTGCCGTGTTTTGTGTAGGAGTTCGCCCACTGACCCTTGTACATGCTACTGCAATGTCGACCACGGCCGTGCCAGATCCCACCCGTGACCGGCAGCCAGGGCACCGCGTCGCCGCGTCAGCAGTCTCGCGTGTATCTACACCAGTATTTGCAAAAATACCGGCTCGCTGTCCCTGGACCAAAGTCACCGTGTCAGGTGCATCAGCATCTACGTGTCCGCCGATCCTTTCCGCGACTGTCATCTGCATCGGCATTTGGTTGCTTATACCTATCCATGCCGTCGCCGTGCCATCTGTGCCATGTATCAGTCCTGGTGGCTGTATCAGGACCTGCTCGTTGATCCCCACCATCGCAGCCGCCGTGCCGTACGTATCAGGTATCGGCATCTGTGTTTGCATCGGCACCACCTTTATCATTGTCCGTGCCAGTGCCAACTCGTCCTCGTCAATCCCCAGCCCGTTGCCGCTGCCGCATCAGCCGTGACACGCCTCAGCACTGGCGTCTGTGTCATCGCCTGCCCACTGACCCCGTCCCCGCCGCCGCAGGATGCCGTGAGCCAGCGGCATGTCGGGCCGCAAGCTGTTCTCGCGCACTGCCCACTGACCCCGTCCCGCCGCCACAGGATGCCTTGAGCCAGCGGCATGTCGGGCCGCAAGCTGTTCTCGCGCACTCAGAAGCGCGGCTCCGAGGGCGGCAGCAAGGCAGCCGTGCGCTATACGCCCTGCTCGCGCCAGGAGCTGCGCCTCGAGGAGGAGCTCGATGACATCGCCGTCGTCTCCAACGCTGATCCGGGCCAAGTGCGCTACGGCTCCGGCTCCGTCACCGCCAACGGGCCCAAGGTGGTGCCAGGTGAGAGCTGCAGAGGCGAGGCGCGTGCCGAGCGACGCGAGCCCTCGTTCGCTGGGGAAGGCTGGAAGCTCCTGCACCCTCCCCATCCTCCATGTGTGTCCTTGCGACTCAGCTCGTGGACGGGAAGACTCCTTGTGGAATAGGTCTCGGGCCCGTTGTGGCTTGCTTCTCTTCACAAACTGATTGTAGGTGCGTTACAGGCATTCAAACATCATCGAGGCAGCACTCTCATCCCCCCTTCACTAACTCACCACTGATGCTGCCTTAACCTGACAGAGGCATCACTGAGGCAAAAAGTATTTTCCTGAGCATTGATTCGGTTTGAATCAATGTTGTTACTGAAGCCAACGCATCATATGTATTCTAAGATGAGGTGGGTTCTGTAGAAAAGCTTTCCATAATCCACATTATTTCTGGCCATTGCTTTGTCGCCGTTTTTAGATCTTTACTTATGTTTGATTTTATAAAAGGAAAAAGTATAGTTTCTGCAATGCATATGAATGTACAGTAAGACCATACAACCAGCAATCATAACACTCCTGTGTAGGTGTATGTATGCTGTATTTTGCCAATCATCTTTTGATCAGATGGTGTATCACAATTTCTCAAGACCATCACGGAGAAATGGAGCATGCTGTTCATAGGGATATCTGCCATCTACTTTGTTAAAAAATTCATTTCCCCCCTTAAAAGTCATGAATCAAGTGTGGGCCTGACCAGTTTTATAGAGGAAAATGCTTGAAGAAGACTTCCAAATTTTGCGAGAACCCCTTAGCTTGGGATGAGCATTTAAGAAAAGAATCATCGCATACGTATGCAAAGCAGGCGAATTTTCATATGTCGGTGGAAAATAGTCCCACTACACCGTTGTAAGACTTGTGGGAAATGTTGAGACGGACTTAGCCAAAAGTTGCGTTAAACGCTATGGATATTAATGTCATTTAAGCCTCGCACAGATGGCAAGGTGGGACAAGTCTTGCTCACATCGTATGCAAATCCCGAGCTTAAGCACCTTATCTTGCATCACGGACGTCGCCGCATGGTCGCGGGACATACGGACCCTCGGACATGACACGCCGCCCTGCATTATAGGTATCATGAATTATTCCTCGCGGAACATGTGTACCCCAAATCTGACCCACCACCCTGTGCTGCAGACACGATCACCTCGACACGAGACATGTAAAACTTCATAGCTGACCGCTCACGACGTGTTGCAGACTCGGTGGGGCACGTGCACCCACGACCTGGCCGTTGCAATATACCTACCCTGCAGCCATCATGACCTCGACGGAGGACGTGTGTTGCAGGCATAATGGCCTCGACGGAGGACATGTGTAACAGCCATCATGACCTCGACGGAGGACATGTGTGACAGCCATCATGACCTCGACGGACGACATGTGTAGCAGCCATCATGACCTCGACGGAGGACATGTGTGACAGCCATCATGGCCTTGACGGAGGACATGTGTAACAGCCATCATGACCTCAACGGAGGACATGTGTGACAGCCATCATGGCCTCGACGGAGGACATGTGTAACAGCCATCATGACCTCGACGGAGGACATGTGTGACAGCCATCATGGCCTCGACGGAGGACATGTGTAACAGCCATCATAACCTCGACGGAGGACATGTGTAACAGCCATCATGACCTCGACGGAGGACATGTGTAACAGCCATCATGGCCTCGACGGAGGACATGTGTGACAGCCATCATGGCCTCGACGGAGGACATGTGTAACAGCCATCATGACCTCGACGGAGGACATGTGTGACAGCCATCATGACCTCGACGGAGGACATGTGTAACAGCCATCATGACCTCGACGGAGAACATGTGCGAAAGCCATCATGGCCTCGACGGATGACATGTGTGACAGCCATCATGGCCTCGACGGAGGACATGTGTGACAGCCATCATGGCCTCGACGGAGGACATGTGTGACGGCCATCATGACCTGGACGGAGGACATGTGTGACAGCCATCATGGCCTCGACGGAGGACATGTGTGACAGCCATCATGGCCTCGACGGAGGACATGTGTGACGGCCATCATGACCTGGACGGAGGACATGTGTGACAGCCATCATGACCTCGACGGAGGACATGTGTAACAGCCATCATGACCTCGACGGAGAACATGTGCGAAAGCCATCATGGCCTCGACGGATGACATGTGTGACAGCCATCATGGCCTCGACGGAGGACATGTGTGGCAGCCATCATGGCCTCGACGGAGGACATGTGTGACGGCCATCATGACCTGGACGGAGGACATGTGTGACAGCCATCATGGCCTCGACGGAGGACATGTGTGACAGCCATCATGGCCTCGACGGAGGACATGTGTGACGGCCATCATGACCTGGACGGAGGACATGTGTGACAGCCATCATGGCCTCGACGGAGGACATGTGTGACAGCCATTATGACCTCGACGGAGGACATGTGTGACAGCCATCATGACCTCGACGGAGGACATGTGTGACAGCCATCATGACCTCGACGGAGGACATGTGTGACAGCCATCATGGCCTCGACGGAGGACATGTGTAACAGCCATCATAACCTCGACGGAGGACATGTGTAACAGCCATCATGACCTTGACGGAGGACTTGTGTTGCAGGCATCATGGCCTCGACGGAGGACATGTGTAACAGCCATCATGACCTCGACGGAGGACATGTGTGACAGGCATCATGACCTCGACGGAGGACTTGTGTTGCAGGCATCATGACCTCGACGGAGGACATGTGTTGCAGGCATCATGACCTTGCTAGAGGGCTTGTGTGGCAGGCATCATGACCTAGACGGAGGACATGTCTTGCAGGCATCATGACCTTGCCAAAAGGCTTGTGTGGGCAGGCATCATGACCTCGACAGAGGACATGTGTAGTAGGCATCATGACCTCGCCGGAGGACATGTGTGCCCTAAAGCCGACCATCCTTCCGTGTTGCAGGCATTATCACCTCATCCCGGGGCGCGCAGGAGCGGCTGAGCTCGTCCAGCACGCGGCTCAACGCCACCAGCCCGGGCACCGCCGCTAAGGCGTCGGTCGACTCGCTCAAGTGTCGCTCGGGCTCCAAACAGTCGCTGATCGAGCTGGTGTCAAGCCGTTTCAGCGTGCGCGGCGGCAAGCGCTTCAGCCGCGACTCCTTCAGCAGCTCGTACATCAACCGGGCGCAGATCTCCGAGCTGGACATCCCGCGCAAGACGCGCGAGGCGCGCCGCAGGGAGATCCGTACCAAGCTGCTGGACGGGTACCGGCGCGAAGAGGGACGCGGCGGGTGCCGGTGGACGTTCGTGTTCGACCCGGCCGGCCGGCTCTGTTACTACTGGAGCATGGTCGTGTCGCTGGCGTTCCTCTACAACTTCTGGGTGATCATCTACCGATGTGCTTTCCGTGAAATCGAGCCCGACACCGTGGTGGTGTGGTTCATTCTGGACTACTTGTCGGACCTCATCTACGCGCTGGACATCGCGTTTCACTTCCGCACGGGGTATCTCGAGGACGGTGTGCTGCAGACGGACTCTGTCAAGCTGCGCACGCACTACATGAACTCCACCACATTTTATATCGACGCGCTCTGCCTTTTGCCGTTGGACTTCTTGTACTTGTCAATAGGTTACAATTCGATCTTGCGCTGCTTTCGGCTCGTGAAGATCTACCGTTTCTGGGCGTTCATGGACCGAACAGAGCGGCATACCAACTACCCGAACGTGTGGCGAACCGTCTCGCTCATCCACTACTTGTTGGTGTGCTTCCACTGGAACGCCTGCCTCTACCACATCATCTGCCTCAACGAGGGCTTTTCGAGGGAGTTCGCACCGCCGCACAATGCCAGCCAGGACGACGTGGTGCTGGAGCACCTGCAGGCGCTGTACTGGTGCACGCGCGCGCTTACCACCATCGGCGACCTGCCGCAGCCGGTCAACAAGGGCGACTACCTCTTCATCGTGACGCAGCTGCTGTTCGGCATGTTCCTGTTCGCCGCCGTGCTCGGACACGTCGCCAATATCGTGGCCAACGTCAGTGCCGCACGTAAAGAGTTCCAAGGTGAGCACACCGCTTGAGCGGTCCGCCCAGATGGTGTTCCAAGGTGAGCACACTGCAGGAGCGGTCCGTCCAGACAGTGTTCCCAGGTGAATACATCGCCCGAGCGGTCCGTCCAGACGGTGTTCCCAGGTGAGCACACCGTCCAAGCCTAGGCGGTGTCCCCAGGTGAGCTTACCGTCTGAACGGTCCACTCAGACGGTGTTCTAATGTGAGCGCTTGAGCGGTCTGCCCAGACGGTGTTCCCAGGTGAGCACACCGCCTGAGCGGTCCGCCCAGACGGTGTCTGCATGCGATGAGGCGCTTCAAGCTGGTGTGGAAAGGTGAACGGTGGTCAGCTCGAAGGTTGTTTTGGGCTGGATCGTGAACGAATATCAACTGATTCCCGCTGGCAGATGTCATTATCTGTGTAGCAATGAGTTACCATTTGTGAGACTGCAAGGCATCGGCAGAGTATTTCCTTTTTCTGGCATATGTAGCTCTGCTCTATGCAATTGAGATGTTCGGCCATTTTTAGGTGGTTTGTTTTGTTAAAGGCACGCTCAATTGAGAAACATCCGCGGTTCAGAGTGTATGTTGCTGCCTGAATTGACATTTCAGTCAATATGTATTATGGCCATGAATAAAGACAACGAGCCAGCCGCAAAAACAGAGCGTACTCAGTAAAGATTAACTTACGATCAGCACAGCTAACCTTGCCCTATAATGAGCCAGCTATTCAACCATTGCTTCAGCTATTAAAATAGCATACCCGATGATAGACAGGTTATTAACAGCTGAGCTTAGCAAACGTGTAGGCTTGGGTGGCATGGGATGAGCGAGATGGCAGCAGATGTAAATTGTTAATAAGCAACATGCAGATGATGCCAAAACCGAGGCTAATGCAGACAGGCATGTTAGGGGTGCCACGCAAGTGCTCGAATATCAGTGTTTTGTTCGGAGGCTCGCCGATGGCACGATCAGGCTGTCATCGCTGTAACATCGTCTAGCTTGGGCCTGGTCATGCCCGGTGTTTGTAGTCTATGAAATCGATAACTTCGTGATGCGTGACTTTTGTGAACGACCAGCGTTTGGTAAAACGTGCAAAAGCTTTAAATTTACACAGCTGTATTGGCTGGGCGTTGTTGAGGTGTCTTGTGGTTTACAGACGACACATTTGCCTACACCGCGTAACTGGTTTTACGTCTTTGGCTTTGTCGACCACCAAACTCTAGGCAACGCATAAACACGTATCCCAAAAACCGGACGTACCCATGGTTTGCGTCAAGAAAAATTGCACACATCATCGCTCACTCTACCGACAAGATTCTCATTTGTGTCCACCAACAGATGGTGTTGATTCCATGCCGCTGTGACACCAGATGGTCGAGGTCTGACCCAGGTTATGAAACCCTTTTGCATTTAGCCAATTTATGGGTGCATTTGCAACGTGCCAAGAATGCTCCATACTACGTGACGTCACATAAAATCTTTGGCGGGTATGTTCGCAGCGCAGGTCGTTTTTTTTGTTTGTTTTTGTTTATATCTTCCAAAACTGTCGTGACAGTCACTGCGCATGAAAAGACACAATGTTTTTGTTTGCAGTTGCTATGAGTGCTCTTAAGAGTGCAAACTGCAAATTATGTTCATTGTAACGCACAAAACACATTTTCGTCGCTCGCAACTGTTGCAAGGCACGCAGCTTAACCTCTTTATAATTGAATCTGTTGCGCTATTTTTTTCTCAATGGGTCGGGTCGAGGAAAAGATTCTGCGCGTCCGGCAAAGCTTCTACGTGACGTCACGTATAATCTTTGTCATTCGGGCTGCTGCAAACACCAAATGGCTCAGAATCTATATCTATGACGTCGTAAGTGACGTCAACGACTCAGAATCTTTGTCGTCTGGGTTGCTGTGAATACGCCTTGTGCCTTACCCATCCCAGAATGGGTAAAGCTATATTTCGTTCACTGTTTGATGTTGTAGGAAGTTGACATCCGATCACGCGTGTGATATGCAGATGCCTTCAAATGTACGTGGGTCTGGATCTAAATAATTGCCATGCTTGCTGCTAATAATGCAGGGAGCCGTAATCAGTGGATACAGATATATTAGCATTTCGAAAGTAATGGACCAAGTTTCTCAAGTAGAACTTGTATGCATGTTATATTTGTTATATATTATATTTGTATGTTTTATATACTACACATACATATACATACATATATATATATATATATATATATATATATATATATATATATATATATATATATATGCGTTCGTGCCGGCACCCAATGGGGCTACATTTAACACTTTTGCTATTTGTTCGACAACCAATCAGTCTTGGGCAGGCCCCACCTGAGCCGACACTGGCTCCTCCTGGGTCCAGCTAGCGAAGAGACAGAATCTATTACTGGCGAGGTCGCTGCCCTGGCGCGTGTTGCTGCATACGTAAAGCCGTACATTAAATATAACAAACAAACATGCTCTCTCCCCCCCCCTCTCTCTCTCTCTCTCTCTCTCCCTCTCTCTCTCTCTCTCTCTCTCTCTCTCTCTCTCTCTCTCTCTCTCTCTCTCTCTCTCTCTCTCTCTCTCTCTCTCTCTCTCTCTCTCTCTCTCTCTCTTTCTCTTTCTCTCGCCCTCTCATGCGCGGGGAACGGAACGCTGAGCAAAGCGAAAGGACCATGGCCACCTCGAGCAAAAACACGAGAGCAGACCAAATTGCTTCAAAGTTGGCCAGCCATGTTTTAAAAGTTGAGGGTGGATCGACCCCATTGGAATAGAATACCTCAACATGGGATGGCTGCCCAAGTGTATGTATGTCTTTCAAGCCGCACGATGACCTACCGTGCGAACAAAAAAACAAAACAAAAACAATAAGGACCTTGCATATTGCAAACAGCCCTAAGCCAGAGCTCGGGCAAACGGCCGGTCACATGACTACATTTTACGTGTAGCAGTCCTATTGCTCCTTCTGCATGCAATGTCAAGCCAGCTTACGCGCGTCGGGGTGGGCGGACCGCCAGACGGTAGCCACCGCGCACGTGCCGCCATGAGACGCAGACGGTAGACCTATCGACTCATCGTGAAGGCAGAATGTTAGAAAACATAAGAAACGCCCAGTAGCCATTCGCCTACGGGTGAAGTTCCCGGACGCAACGGCGGGTGACTCTTGGCGCAGGGATAAAGCAAATCACAGTTTCAAACTCGTCTTGTTTATTTGATCCGGATAACGTAAGAAACTCGAGTGCAAGCTCAGAAGCTCTTCGCAGCCGCCGGACCTTGCAGGGGCGGTCCGGCGGCTGCGTATGCAGCAACACGCGCCAGGGCAGCGACCTCGCCAGTAATAGATTCTGTCTCTTCGCTAGCTGGACCCAGGAGGAGCCAGTGTCGGCTCAGGTGGGGCCTGCCCAAGACTGATTGGTTGTCGAACAAATAGCAAAAGTGTTAAATGTAGCCCCATTGGGTGCCGGCACGAACGCACAAATTAGTTTCCTTGTTAAAGTCCCACTCGTCAATAGCGACGACAGCCTTCTTGGTTCTCCGAAGTGAAACTGTTGTCTACAATAGCCGGAATGCATCACCGGCGTGATTTAACTCAGCACAATTCTGCTCGAGAGGCGCCCGATGGCTGAATAGATAAACGACGCTACAGCACCGAAGCTTCGGTCGCTAAAAGGTCGATGTCATAATAGAACGTATTCACCATGCACACACTTACAGTTACATCTTGTCTTATTCGAATCAGTGGTCCGATCGAGCTCTATGGGAAAAGTTTTTGGTCCATCACGTATGTGTCTTGTATTTTGCGATCTAATTAGCTGATCAAAATGTCCAGATTTGTAATCAGATCTGGGTATTGAGCCAAAAATATGAATGCCAAGTGGTCTCTTTTGCAATTGCGTGCTATCCATTGGATACGTTGCTGCCAAAGTTATACCGACGCCCAAACCCAAACGAGCCCTTTCTCTGCCTGACAAATAATAAGACACAGCTGGCACTCGCCAGTAGCTGTGAGAGTTACGACTGTTTTCGTGGAAGCCGTAATAAAGCTCATCGATCGGAAGAAATGCGGAGGTGCCCGCGAGGTGTCGTCGGAACAGGCTTCCTATTTTGAAGTTTGAGAGTGGCTGTCACCAGTCCTCTCGGGATTTCAAAAGACACTGGGGTCTATGTCGCTCCAAGCGTACAATGCCAAATGTCCAGAGCTTCAAAATCCCCAATGCTTGTCATGCAAATCCTTGAAGAAGGGTCCGTCCAATCGAGTTGCTCCTCTTTTACTAAGGGTGACCCGTGGGTAGAATATTTCATCGTGTAGAGTATTTCATTTCCCAGTGGTTATCTTAACTACAACAAAAATATCCTCTAGAGCGATCCGGCTTGATCTGGCCTGTCATAGTCCTTGGAAGCTATGTCTTTGTTGATTCTGACTGCAGTTTCATGCAGTTTTCATTAAGAAGCGACATTTGTGTCTTTTTGTATGTTTTTTGTGTTTGGATTATCCCATAAGTAAGCCTTTTCGAGACGTTCGTTTGTCCTTCAACATTACAAGATGGCCAAATCTTCAATTAGCAATTTCACTTTCTTTGGGAACGTTAAATTTGCGACATGCAACTGGCGGACGATCTTCAAGCTTCGCTATCTGTAAAGTGGCCTGGGAAAATAGTGATCACCTTTGCCTGCCAAACTGCCAAACACGTCGCAAATAACCAAGGCTGACTACGCACGTATTTGGTTTCCGAAGGTGTATGGCTCCATTTGCTCGTGTTTTGATTTCATCTACGTGAGACACCACACATCCCTGGTACTGCCACATCCCTGGTACTGCCACATCCCTGGTACTGCTCACTCGTCATAGGCCAGATGAAGGCGTCGCGCTGGTTCGCCTCGGTGCTGCGTGTTTGGTATGCACGCTCCAGTGGTCCCCGCAGCCGGCTGTGTAGCAGCAGAGTTTGCGTTCCGGCGAAATGGGACGGGCACCAGAAATACCGGGCTCTGCACCAGAATAGCAATAAAAGTCTT